CTCTCTCTCTCTCTCTCTTTCTCTCTCTCATATCTCTCTCATCTCTCTACGATTTTCATGCACGACTTGAACAGTAACAATGAGTTTCCTTCGGTCGTCGCCAGTTTTTCGCGTCGATCTTCCAACGATAAATCTCCACACCCTGTCGCTATCCCCTGAGTTAATACCAACCCCAGTGACCGGTGCACCACGTCACGGAGTAAGTTAGAATAACGGCGAACACCGATCGTGATTTCACGCCGAGTATCGATCGTAATTCAAGCGGATGCTCCGACGTTCATATCCAAAGTTCCAACACAGAGATTTAATCGTAAAATAATATTCGCCCGTATATCTCTATACATTTTGCAATCGGTCAAACTTTAAATGACAACGATTCTTGACATTTTTAAAGAAAAAAATAATTTTCAAGAATGACACTTGCAAACTCGGTCAAACTCGAACTGTTACAGTATCTCGTACGATTCAATATTATCGGCAAAGACTCGAAGAAACGGTTATACTCTCGCGGTGCACGAAAAAACTGGAAACGCCGGGAACTCTGACTACTCGGGTGCGTGAGATTTCCGGTTGCCACACACCAGCTTTCTGCAGAATTGCACGTCTCTCGCGACTTCTAACCGCTTGCCGATCGATGCACGATGTTTTCAATACTGCGGAAGGAAAAGAGAGTCGTTCGGTAACGATTTAACGGCATGCTAATTCTCCTGTTTCCGCGTTATGGTTGCTTTTAACCGCTCACCTTTTCAACCCAATCGGTCCCATTGCAGAAGCAACGAAGTTGCGTGAAGAACGGGACGCATGGTGGTCACATTCGAGACCGCGTCTCCTTATCGTTTGGCGCACGATTTTTTTTGTTTCTTTCCTTTTCTCTCTGTCTTCCTTTCCCTTAGCTCTTCCTTCTCTCTCGTTCTCATTTTATCCTCTCGCCTCTCCTCTTGATTCTTACGGCTTTCACCTCTGTTCTTCGCATGGCGTGCCTGCACTTTACGTCGCGTGCGAATCGGGAAAGATACCGTGCTTGTACCTTAAACGAGCTACAATGCGTGGAAACGGCGCGAAAGGGAGCAAGTCAGCTCGTTTGTAACAGGTTGACTACGTGACACCGTTCGCTTGCTCGCTTACCTCTTGAGATCGATCTCAGAACCGAATAGCCCGTGGCGAAC